TACTACCACATTATCATTTAATTCAGTTGTTGAAACTGAAGAGGTGCCCTGAATACTCACATTGTCACCATCTTCACAGAAAGTATTAGAAAATCTCATTTTTAAGCGTAATAACTAGCTTATAAAAACACAGCACTTATTCCTCATGTGTCCGGTGTTGTGTCTAGTTCAATCAATAGGACAGAACTCCCAGGGAAATAAGTGAGAGCAACAGGAGACGCAATCTGACTCCTAGAAAAATTCAGGATCGTAAATACTAGGCTGGATTAATGCCAGGTAGTTGAATTATATATTGACCCAAGAGCAAATCTCCACTGAGGATCATTTCCTCAAGAGCTCGCTCTCTTCGCCCTGAAGGAACCTGCCTGTTTCTCCCGACAGGATTTTGCATGCACAAGCCAAGTAAGATTTGACGTGTCAGTTTTGCTTGAGTTACTCGAGCATATTTTCCGCTTTATTCATTAAAGTAATGCTGAGCCGTTCAGTCCCTGGGGCTGCTAACCTCTGCTCTCAATGCCCTGTCAAGTATTAACAGAAGGGACGGAGATCAAAATACGCTGGGCTGAGTGTCACACTGCAAAATTCCCTTTTACCCCCAAAGCCTGAACTTCCCTCCATTCAGCCTCCCCGGGTATATTTTGCTGTGGTTGATCGTTGTTTAAATTAGACATTCCAGACAGTGTAGCAAAGAGCCTGCAAAAAGGGAAACTTCATCTACATTCAGCAAGAGTGTGTCTCTAATCCGGATTCCCGTCCCGTCCCGCATTCCACTCTGCTCACAGACGCACTGCCCTCCAATCTGGATTCCTTGCGAAGCGTGTTCCCCTCCTATATACAGTTTCCACTCCGCGTCCCTCTTCGAGTGCGAACACTCATACCTATTAATCCGGATTCCTCTCCCATAGGCGCGCGGACACACGCGTGCGCTCGAGCTACTCCGGATTCTCTCCCCTGAGCCCCTCACCTGTTTCAGCACCGCGCGGAGCCTGTGGCGGCGGCCGGCAGATCAACGCCCCGGAGGATGCGGGCGCCTTAGGTCCCAGCGTTCGCTGGCTCCAAACCCAAAGGTTCCTCCCGACAGCTGCTTTTAACCCGGCTGCGCCTCCTCTTGCAAAGCGCCTGAGCCCGGGGCGGGCGGAGAGGGCTGCCCTGAGCTCAAGCGTGAGTCGGGCTGTCCCGCCCCCTATGCTCCTCCTGGCCTGGCTCCAGCCGTCCCGCAACGCTCCAGTCCCTCCCAAAAGTGCAACGAGGGGCCGAGCCGCTCACGGGAAGGGAGCAATTGTCCTGTGCATGGAGGAGAGAGCCTTACCCTTTGCCCCTCCTAGCTGCTTCACAGCCCCCCCACTCCTCCTTCATACACCCCCAACTCTACAGACTGGAGATTTGGTCCAAAACGCCACTGTGTACAAGTCTCAGAGATGTAGCCATGTTAGTCTGCAACTTTCAAAACAAGGAGTAGCCCTGTGGCGCCACAGAGACTAACAAATACATATCTATATAGTATCATGAGCTTTCCTGGACAAAACCCACTTCTTCAGATGAGCTTGCAGCCTCTGCTACTGCCACCTTAGTACAAACAACAGGAGTCCTGTGGCACCTTGAAGACTAACAAATCATTTGGGCATAACCCAAATAAAACTGTTAATCTTTAAGGTGCCACAGGACTTCTAGTTGTTTTTAACTTGTTTTTAACTTGCCCTTTACAATAGTATTATTGTAGGGCTCCTTCCTATTTATCAGCTGCCAGCAGTGTGACTGGAGCTGTAGAAGGCACAAAAGGAAAGAGGCAGTACCTGCAGGTAAGAGTTTACAGTCCAATAGACACACGCAGCTCTACACTGAGTGGGAAATCTAAGGACATGTCTACACTTACAACACTGCATCTTCGCAGCTGTGTCAGCACCTTTGTCATGATTTAATGCAGGCACATTAAATGGACAGGGTATAGCAGACAAGGAGTAGCCCTGTGGCGCCACAGAGACTAACAAATACATATCTATATAGTATCATGAGCTTTCCTGGACAAAACCCACTTCTTCAGATGAGCTTGCAGCCTCTGCTACTGCCACCTTAGTACAAACAACAGGAGTCCTGTGGCACCTTGAAGACTAACAAATCATTTGGGCATAACCCAAATAAAACTGTTAATCTTTAAGGTGCCACAGGACTTCTAGTTGTTTTTAACTTGTTTTTAACTTGCCCTTTACAATAGTATTATTGTAGGGCTCCTTCCTATTTATCAGCTGCCAGCAGTGTGACTGGAGCTGTAGAAGGCACAAAAGGAAAGAGGCAGTACCTGCAGGTAAGAGTTTACAGTCCAATAGACACACGCAGCTCTACACTGAGTGGGAAATCTAAGGACATGTCTACACTTACAACACTGCATCTTCGCAGCTGTGTCAGCACCTTTGTCATGATTTAATGCAGGCACATTAAATGGACAGGGTATAGCAGTCCCATAAGTTTAGCTAATCTACTGCCTGGAGAGGCAGTAGCTATGTTAGCAGAAGAAGCTCTCCCACTGACATAAGTGCTGGGGGTTAGGTTGGTATAACTCCTTTGCTCAAGGGTGTGGATTTTTCACAACATCTGCAATTGCTGGGAACTGCAGCTGACCCTCTACCTGCCATGGGCAGGGGACTCAGGGAATGGGGACACTGGCCAGGGGATGCTCAAGGCCCCAAATTAAATTAATAGGCAGCAGGTTTAAAACAAACAAAAGGAAACTTTTTTCACTCAGCACACAGTCAACCTGTGGAACTCCTTGCCAGAGGATGTTATGAAAGATTAGGACTTTAACAGGGTTCAAAAAAGAGCTAGATAGATTCATGGAGGTTAAGGCCATCAATGGCTATTAGCTAGGATGGGTAGGAATGGTGTCCCTAGCCTCTGTTTCTCTGGAAATGGATGACAGTGCCTGCATGTACACAATTCCATTAGTCCTCAGTGTGCCTTCTTTCACTTGAGCTAAGTTAGCTCGAGTATATGTAAGTCATGCTAACTCTGCAATTAAGACATAGCCTAAGAATAAATTAATCATTTGGAAGAATTTAAAGGAGAGGTTGGTGGATTGGAGAGTCAGGATAGGGAAGATCTGCCATGCATATGGGACAGCATGGGAAACACACAGGAAGAACTAGGGGAAGATGGATATGTTGACATCTTTGGTGGAGCAGAAGGAGCAACACAGTAACAAAAGTTATGAGACAGTTTTAGGAAGGCTAATGGTGGATACAGGAAACTTAAAACTTGATAAAAGCGACGAGAAGTCCTGTGGCACCTTATAGACTAACAGATTTATTGGAGCATAAGCTTTCGTGGGCAAAGACCCACTTTGTCTGATGCATGTCCTGCATCTGATGAAGTGAGTCTTTGCTCATGAAAGCTTATGCTCCAATAAATCTGTTAGTCTATAAGGCTGTGTCCAGACTCGGGGTTTTTTTCGAAAAAAGTAGCCTTTTTTCGAAAAAACTTCACCTGCGTCTAGACTACAGCCATGTTCTTTCAAAATTAAATCGAAAGAACGCGGATTTTCTTTCAACAGCGGTAAACCTCATTTCACGAGGAAGAACGCCTTTTTTCAAAAGTGCTCTTTCGAAAAAAGGCGTTCTTGAATGCCAACAGGGCTTTTTAGAAAGAGAGCATCCAGACTCACTCATTGCTTTCTTTAGAAAAAGCAGCTTGCTTTTTCGAAAGTTCTGCTTGCAGTCTAGACGCTCTTTTTTGAAAGAGGCTTGCAGTCTAGACATAGCCCAAGGTACCACAGGATTCCACGTCACTTTTGCAGATCCAGACTAACACGGCTACCCCTCTGATACTTAAAACTTGATGTAGTGGATAAGAGGAGGGCAAGAGAGGGAACCAGAGAGGAACTGACATTAGAGCTGCTGGCCAAGAAAATAATAGTAGTTGCATACTCTGGATGAGCTGGAGGAGATGATAAAGGCATTGAGATTTTCAAAGAAGAGGAGGTTGCAATAAGCAAGACAAGAAATGGTCTGAACATGGACAAGCTTTTTCGTGGTCAGGGA